ATCCGCAACTCTCTCAGTGGTTCGACTACCAGCCCTTCGACACCCCAGCAAAGTACATTGATAGCGTGACCCCTCAGATCGCTGATAGCATGGAGAGCCGTATGGGAATCAGTTCGTGGCACCGGCGCTTCCACCCAGACGCACCACTTCATCCCAGCTACATAGCTCTCGGAGGAGATCTCCTTCCCCTCATATTCGGCGTCATCGCATCACCTCCAGAGGTCTCTCACGTCGAGCATGTTTAAACCGACGAAGTTTTCATTTTCTCTCGACCCGGTACTTTAGGAACTGCTGTCGTGTGCATGTTATTATCAATTATATTATCAATTGCTATTGTGATGTGTTCTTCTTGATTAGTGAGAGAGTGGCTCTGTTTGCCTCGTATATCCGCTGATTTAAATATTACAAGTCAAACTTTTATTACAAGAACAAATTATTATATTTTTTCTGAATAATTTATAAGACCGTAAACTTAGTACATTGCACATTTTGTTTAAAACCATCTAGAACTTCACTTTCTTCTGTAGGCTCCTGTCTAAATCGATCGCTGATTTGGTGAAGCATTGTTGTCGCTGTTCTTCTTACCTGCATACGCATTGTTTCACATCATTGGCTCTGAGATTGCCCTTGTTTATCCTTGCTAGCTGATAGCATTCGATTGAAGAAGAATTAAAAGGGAAGAGAGAGATAGTTTTCTCTCTTTTAGTATCACGTCAGTCAATAACAACTCAAGATTGGTAGATTGTTGATCAAATTATTGCTTCTCCTCATTCATGACGCCCTTTCTCTATTGCAATTTTCACATACTTAAGTTTGATCCTTTAGATTCAAATACCATGCTATTGCTTGTTAGAGAGTCCTTTTTGAATATCTTCTTGATTGCAAATATTAGATTTACAAAATAAAAAATGAGAGTTCTGTAATACTTATTACTTTAAGGGTATGTTTGTCATTGACTACCTGATTCCTTGCATAGTATAAATCTGAACCCTTACCAGACAACAAGGTATGGACCTTTCAACCCTCTCTCTCTCTCTTTCCATTTAAAAACTATAATCCCTCCCAACTCACCAAGGGCAATTTTGTCATTCACCAAACTATTCCTCACTATAAAAGCCACCATCTCCTCCTCAATCAACTTTAGCTCCAACGCCATCCAATAGAAAACAGAAAGAGAGAAAGAGAACACTCCCTCCTCCATCTCTCCGGCCGCCGGAATCTCAAGATTCCGACCAAATATCTCAATACAAAGCTCTCAATCCATCAATTGATCTGAATAACCTTAGGATTACCGTGGTGGTGGTTCATGATGGGGTTTTCCTTGTTTCCGATGAAGACATCCACAAGGCTTCTGTGGAGTACGAGCTTCTTCCGTCACAAGATTTTCTTCTTCTTCTAAGCAAACATCCATTCTTAAATAAAGAGAGAGTATACATATATATAGCTCTATAAGTTTGTGATACTAGGTTTCGAGAACCAAAGATCTTGCAGTGGTTTGGTCTGGTCTGAGACATAGCAAGTCATGGATTCAGGCCGTTTGATTTTCGATTCTTCTTCTTCCCACCGTGGTCACATGCTCATCCTTGGCGGATCGGGGAACTCGATCTTCCGAGGTATTCAATTTTTTTTAAAGAAAATATTTGATCTGGAGTTTATTGATGGTAAAGAAAATTAATATTTGCAGAGATGGAAAACTTATGGATTCAAATTGTCTATAGTGATTTATTAGAGATTGATTTCTTTAATTTTCTGTCTGATTTTTCATGACACTTTAGTATATATGGATCGATAGATTGTAGAGAGTTTACTGTTCTATTGACATGTGAAAAAAAATACTCTTTATTCTATTTTGATTGAATGGTTAGATATCTTCCCCACTACTCCCCTATTATGATATATTAACAAAGAGAAACTTGTACACTACAAGAATTCTCTATATATGCTTCTTGTACAAAGAATTTTTTGCTTAATTAAATAAAGAGCTACTACGGACTATATATGACCAAAGAAAGCTCTGGATTTTGCTCAACTATACACTAGAAAAGTGTTTTTCTTTTTCAAAATAATTTTTGGATGAAAGGCTGGCTGATTAATATTGTTTTCTGAGTGGAAATAATTTTAGTGTGAATTTTTTTTTTTTTGTCATATTGATTGCTTTACTTGGAGAGTACTGATGAAGGGTCGAGATCGTTGCTTGGAATGGAGGACGGTGTCAGCAAGCGCCGGCCCTTCTTCACCTCTCCAGAAGAGCTTCTGGAGGAAGAGTACTACGATGAGCAACTTCCCGAGAAGAAGCGCCGCCTCACTCCCGAACAGGTATTTAACTTGTGAAAGTTCAGAAAATGTTTAGACTCTTTTACTTGATATATACTCACCTAATTTAGGAATTACAAAAACATATTTACATATTTATCTATCTAGAACTAATAATATCAATCAGACAATTAGTACTCTGCTTCATTGACCCAAAAAAAAGCGAGGGTAAAGCTTTGTTCCTCTGAGAGATCTCATCTTGGATGGTTGCAACTGATGATTCAGATCTAGAATCCATTTGTTCAATCACAATAGTTTGTTACTTAGCAGATCATTATATTCTTTTTCAAATGAATAATTAGAATTAAGATGGTAGGATGACTTATATAATTACTCTAAATATAACGGGGACAATTATGATGTGAGAAACAGTCCTGCTACTATGACATTAAAAAAAAAAGAGGGAACCTTTCATGTGATGGGCGGTGTTGACTTTCAATTTTTTAACTTATCAGGATTTAATATTCCATGACTATTAGTGGAGCATGACTTAGCTTAATTAGACTAAATCACACTGAGATTACTGATGCATGGGAGTGAATGAAATTAGGTACACATGCTGGAGAGGAGTTTTGAGGCGGAGAACAAGCTGGAGCCAGAGCGCAAGAGCGAGCTGGCAAAGAAGCTCGGGCTGCAACCGAGGCAGGTGGCCATCTGGTTCCAGAACAGGCGTGCTCGCTGGAAGACCAAGCAGCTCGAGAGGGACTTTGACCGACTGAAAGCGGCCTATGATTCCCTCTTGGCTGATCATGACTCCCTCCTCAAGGACAATGATCGGCTTCGCTCTCAGGTATATATTTATAGAGCAAAGTCTAGATGCTATGTTTTTTTGTTGAACCATTAACAATATAACTTCAAATCTTCAAAAAAATGCTATAGACTACCAGAAAATCACACTTGAGAAGAGGGGATGAGAGAATATATAGTCATGTAAAGTATATAAGGACAAACATGTCGAAAACATGTCATCTGCATATCACATGTTAATTTATAGTACTGTTTGTCAGTCATGGTAGTTTAACGAAACTAATAAATGATATTTTTCTCTAATAAAAATAGTTCGTGATACTTTTTTTAATCAAATTGGTAATATTTTACACAATAGTTTCATGAAGCTTACCGATGTTTATTAATACCATCTAATTGTAAGTATGCATATGCTCGAACTCTGAGAATATAGAGCTGGCTGACCCACTGCCACCCTTTAGAAATCAGAGTAGAACTTCTTGGGTAAGACCTTGTGATAGTTAATTGCAATTACATGACACCTTCCAATAGCTAAGTTATAATTTTTTTTTTAAATATTTTTCCTATAAACAAAAGGATATTATTCTTGTTGATGCGTAAGTACACTGCAAGTTCTGTACTGAGCCAATACTTCTACTTCTTTTTGACTTATATAAGGTTCCATAATAAATGGTGAAATTATCCTTCGCCTATAGTTGTCTAGTACTGGACCACGCTCTGAAGCTCTAATAAAAGGACAGGTAAATATTTAAAGGCCAGACAGTGTAAATATTTGGACAAATTTTCAATTTAGACCTCTTTAGAAACTTATTTGCAAAAAATAACCTATTTCGAAAATACTTACCAAATTCGACCAAGTTTCGAATTTGGCGAAAAAACTTAAAAAACTTCACGGGACTTGAAGTCCCGTGAAGTTTAAGGACTCATAGCCAACTTTGATTAGGAGCCTCAAACCTTCACGGGACTGGAAGTCCCGTGAAGTTATAAGCTTCAGGTTGTTTTCGTTGATGACGGAGAAATGAGATGAGATCTGAATTCCTTGTCCTCCATCGTAATCACTCTCAACCCATGGCGACTCTCTCCCCCAAATCCCTCCTCCTCCTCTTAATCGCCCGAGCCGCTTCAATAGCGACCTCCTCCGGGAGTACTCGGCGGCGTCGTTCCCGCTCTTCAGCTCCTCCTCCTCCTTCTGCCTGTACCTGTCTAACCACGGCCTGAAGCTGGAATTCTCTCTTAAATACAACCTGAACCGTCCCATGAAGCGAGCCGCTTCAATAGCGACCTCCTCCGGGAGTACTCGGCGGCGTCGTTCCCGCTCTTCAGCTCCTCCTCCTCCTTCTGCCTGTACCTGTCTAACCACGGCCTGAAGCTGGAATTCTCTCTTAAATACAACCTGAACCGTCCCATGAAGCTTATAACTTCACGGGACTTCAAAGTCCCATGAAGTTTTGGGGCTCCTAATCAAAGTTGGTTATGTGGGCTTAAACTTCACAGTACTTCAAGTCCCGTGAAGTTTTTTAAGTTTTTTTGTCAAATTCGACCCAGTTTCAGCCAGTTGGTGGAAACTGTGTCGAATTTGGTAAATATTTTGGACATAGATTATTTTTTGCAAAAAAATTTCTAAAGAGGCCTAAAACTAAAATTTGTCCTTTATTTTTAAAAGAATAAAGTCTAAAGGACTGCCACAGTACTTGTTGCATCCCCGCAATTAGTGACACATATCTTGTTATATATTTAATATGATAATAACTATACTTGAAAGCTAGTAAAAATAATTTGCAAACAAAATTGATTATACCTTACTAGGAAAAAAAAGGTTTTACTTCTACTATCATTTTAAGTGCATCCATACTTACATTTACAAATTATAAATGCAAGCCAGATAAAGATGACTATGAATTATTGCCTTTCCTATTCAATACCAGTAGTGTTGCTATTTATTAAAGCCTATATTGTATTTTATTAATAATAATATTATCCGTTTTAATTAATTGTTAATTAGGCCGGCTATCAAACAGAACATTATTCTGAAGCTCTAGTGCCTGCGTGATGCAATAATATTAGATGGGAGATTAAAAACACATGGCCGGCTTTCTTTTCTTAGAATAAACATATTTTATATCAACAAATTTAATTTAATTTAAATAAAAAAGTAGATTTTTTTAATAGAGGAAAGACGGCAACTAGACGACAACAGAATATATGGTCAAATTATTGGCACACGGAATGTTTCTAAGCTTCTGCATAATCTCATGTTTTTATTTTTCTCCATCATTTTCATATCTTGAAGCATGAACAAGGTTAGCAATTTTATCAGTAGAGAAATAAACAAGAAAAGGTAGCGAAAATGTCAAGATGAAATTTGGCAAAATGCTTTTAAGCGTGAAATCTATACAGCTCCAGACCTTCAGGCATTTTATTGTATACAACTCATGTCTCCAAAAATTCAGCAGAGATATCATGTCCATACCACATGTACACAACTTGTGTTTACAAACGTATGCAATTCTCTATGTCATATCATCAAATACGGATATTAACGATTTCACATAACATTAATTATCTTTGAACAATGAGGTTGTATTTGACAAACCTCTAAAACTAGACTAAAACTGAGCAATGTTCGTCCAGTTTTTAGGCCAAAAATACCCACTAAATTGATTTTAATTTGGACCACCCAATGGTCCAAATTGAAACCGGTTTAAGATAAAACTGAGCCATGACTGATCATAGTCCAATTTTTGATAGATTGTCAAACACGTCATGGGTGTATACATGCATACAAGAAAAGCAAACGTGTACACATGCTACAAAACGCCAAACAATTGAACACAAAAAAATTAACTTTCCTCAGAAAACAAATTTTCGAATTTTATAAGCTTTACACATTTAAAATGTTGGATATTTTGACTATATCATTACTTATATGACCTAGGCTGTTTTGATAATGCTACGCTTATATTGAAATTGAGAACAGTCAGTATGATAAAAAAATATCAGTTGTTGTTGTTGTGGACAGTCTCAAGCTTAAACACTCTCTGTTTCCATCCAAAATCTTATTATGACCGGTGCATAGCAATAAATTGGAAAGCAAATGCAACTCGTAATAGAAGATAATACACAAAGAAAAGACTTACTTACTTTTAGCAGAATTTAAGTTTAAAAGTGTGTGTGTCTATATATATATATATAGGGAGAGGTTCAAATAAAAACCTCACTATCCTAAAAACTAAAAACCAATCTTCTCCATTGGATCTAGATTCATCCAATGGCTGAGATTAAAGCTGCATAAGGGTAATTAGGTAAAATAAACAGCCCACTATAGGGAGGTAATTAATGCTTCTCTGTTGAGTTCTTCATTTCCCCATGCAACTCTCTCTCTCTCCAAAATCACAGCAACTCTCTCTTTGTCTTCAACATCTCTCTTCTTCAACCTTCGTCTTCTTCAACCTCTCTCTCTCCAAAATCACAGCAACTCTCTCTTCTTCAACCTTCGTCTTCATGGTTTATGAAATTATTTTGACGCTTCGTCTTCACGGTCTTCTTCAACCTTCGTCTTCATGATTCAGTGGGCTGTTAAATTATTTTGACGCTTTAATGGTAAGTTTATAAAATTTGTTTGATTTTTCGTCTAAAAGTTTTAGTTTTAACCTTAAAGATCGTAGCTTTTTATTGTAAAAGGTGAAATATTTCACCTTTTAGTCTAAAAAGTTTTTTATTTTTTAAAGAAACCAGTCTAAAAGATTCAGTATGTGAGGTGTTTGTTTTTTACCATAAAAATCGTAATTTTTTGCTGTAAAAGATGAAATCTTTTTATGGTTTAAAATTTTATAGCTTGTTTATTACCATAAGTTTCTTATTCTTCAATATAATCCAGATTCAATGGAGTGAATCCAGATTCACTGGAGTGAATCCAGGTTCACTCCAACGAAAGCTTGGATGGTTAGGATGGTTTTTAATGAATTGTTGAAGAAATAAATGCATGTGCTGTAATTTCGAAGAAATAAACGCATGAGTGAATCTAGATTCACTGCAGTGAATCCAGATTCAGTTATGTGAGGTGTTTGTTTTTTACCATAAAAATCGTAACTTTTTGTTGTAAAATGTGAAATCTTATCATGGTTTAAAATTTTATAGCTTGTTTTTTTATCATAAGTTTCTTATTCTTTTTATTTTTTATTTTTGCAGATTTGCTATTGTTTGATAACGAGTTTCAGTCCACTGAATCTGGATTCAATTCAGTGAATCTGGATTCAATCCAATGAATCGAGCTTCAATATAATCCAGATTCAATGGAGTGAATTCAGATTCACTGGAGTGAATTCAGATTCACTCCAGCGAAAGCTTGGATGGTTAGGATGATTTTTAATGAATTGTTGTTGTGTTCTTCATGCGAAGATGGAAGATCAAAGCTTGATAGAAGATGGAAGTGAGTTACAGAGAGCATGAAGTGAGTTAGAGAGAGAAATGGGGAAATGGAGAACTCAACAGAGAAGCATTAATGTTGCCAGCCACCATTAATGTAGTGAATTGTTCCAATTTTATCCTTTTCACATTAATGATGTGTATTAAATTTGTCTATATTTACAATTTTGCCATTGAAATGTAGGTCATTGGATTAGATAGATTGGAGGGTTAGGATTGGTTTTTAGTTCTCTAGGTTTTTATTAGAACCTCTCCCTATATATATATATATATATATATATATATATATATATATATATATATATATAAAAGCTATCAGAAACCTGTCATTTTGCTGGAAGTGTTCTAGACTCTATAGAATTCTAGTGTCCTCAACGCCTTCACACAGTACCCTTAGTTGACATACCAAAGCCTCTTTATATAGGTGTTAACTGATTGGAGTTAAACTTAATTATATATCAAACTAATTGGACTCTTTTTATTGTTGAGTAATTAATTTTGAAGATAAATGTGAGAACTAATTTTATATATCAGGGAACATAAAAATTCAAACATGTTCAGTGACATGTCTGTAATTACGGAGTTTTGACATTCATACACAAAATATAGCATTTCATTAAATGATGTATTACAAGGAATAATACAAATCACCATCTGATTGTACAAATAGATAGACACAAAAAAGAAAAGAAAAAGAAAAAAAGCTATCCTTGTTCAAGGATGGCGCTGAACTGACCCTCTAATTTACAATAACTATTTTTTCCTCTTCTCCTCTTAATGCTAGGAGCTCATATCTGATTCTAAGATTACTCGCTGCAAATACTTGAAAGATCTCTGATAACTCACGAACCCCATAAACCAAAACTCAAAACCATCATGAGTAACAATCTGAACATACTTCTGACTAGGCTTATTCACATTCTCACTTGGACTAACTCTCTTTATCTTCCTCAATGGAATCGAAACTTTATAAGGAACTCTGATCAAATCTCCTTCAGGAGAAGTGAATGTTAAGGGTCTATCGCTGCAAAATGCAATTTTCTCCGTAGAAATGAAGAGCAACCCTGCAATAGGACCAGACGTTGTTGATAGATAACACTGACAGGCTTTCAGGAGCTTCTCCCTTTTATTGACAGAGAAGTATCTCCTGAAGATTTTTTCAATTCCTCCCGCCTGAAGAATTCTTGCCCCCAAGCTCAATTTCCCTTTCACAGTTTCAGACATCTTCATCTCTCAGCTTAAACTGTTCGAATATTCTAGTGCCTCTGCTCTTTGAGATTGTTTAGCTTGAGGATTGTTTCTTGGGCTGGAAAGAGAAGAACGCAGGATTCTTATAAGGTGAGGCAACTTAAAAGTTGGTGGAAATATTTGAGACGTGTTTTCGCCAGCAATGCTATGAATCAGCAGCACATGTGAAGGGATAAAGACATGTTTTCGCCAGCAATGCTAAGGAAACGGAGAATGTAAGTAATATTAAGGAAACAGGCAAAAGCACTGCATGTTTTCTTTTGAAAAGTTCTGAGGTCAGGATCATAGACATGATAGATTTTATTATTTAGATTAGCATCAGCAGCGCTGAGTCAGCTTTCTAGGATAAATCTTTGAGAGCTGGAGTTGAGATCTCATTGGCCCCCGTCTCGCTGTAAAGAGAGATAAAATCAAAGTGCACTGAACCAAAGAAGCCATATCTCAGCGTATTTGATAAAATAAAGGCAAACCAGTAGGCTTTTTATTGTTGAAAGCTTTAGGAAGCTTATCATGTTCAGAAGCTTGTATCTTATCAACTACCAAAAGTCCAAATATATTATATCATATGCTTATAACTTAACTTATCTGAAGCCCTGGAAAGTATATAAAACTTTAAATAAAAAAAATCTAGTGGCTGAACATTAGATAAAAGTGTGTTCGTGTTTGTGTTTGTTCTCTGTGTGTGTGTTCGTGGGAGGGGGACGTAAAATACAGAAAGCAGAAGTTATTCTATGGAATCCTAGGACTCTTGCACGTAGCGCACGTCCAAAGTAGTACTAGTCCCTTTTCCTTGTGTTCCATTGCTGGAAGTGAAGTTCGCTAGAAATGAAGCATAGAGCCAGCAGCATTGAGCTATTCTGACATTGGTTGTTAAAATGACAAAGTTTGACAAGATGAGTTAGGATCATGATGTATTGTCCCCTTGCATGATTTTGCAGGGATCCACTGTTTGCAGTTAGTTCAGTTAGTTGTTCATGTGGACCAGCAGATTGGAGATTTGTCTGTAAGTTAGGTTGCATTTCATATGCTTGAAGGTAATCACATCCTTCTAGCTCTCTGGTTTTTCATTCTTTATTTTGTAGTTCTGCGCTTTAGTGTTAAGCTGTATTGCTAATACTAAGAGCGAATATTTCTATAAACATCTAACAAATGCAAGTCTGATTTGAGTTTTTTCATTAATCGCTGCGAGTTATAGAAAAATTGGAAAATAAATTGGAACAGCCTTATCCACATCCTCAAGGACAAACTTTTAAACCTATAGATTAAGTCAGAGTGACGAGAAAGATGATCATTACTTTATTTGAACTGAGGGAACTTTCATGTAATCAATTTTCAGAAAGCTCGGGTTATTAGTGCTTTGTTTCGGAATGAGTAGACATATTAGTGGAATTCCTCTAACAAAATATATCATGCTAGTATATTACCAGCATAAGTAGAATATAATAAATAATTTTTTTTTTCTTCGGTATTTCTCCATGAGCTATCAGAAACTTGTCATGTTATTAGTATCAAAGGTATTCTTCTGTCATGTTTCCGATTACATGCTGACTGCCAAAATGTAATATTATACCATGGTTGTTGGAGTGCCATAAGTTTTGAGGAGCAATTAAATGCTGAAAATATGCGCGATCTAGCAGTAAATCAACAAACCCAAATGCTGAAAGGAAAAAAAAATTCTAGAAAGCTTGCCTGGCAAAATTGTTCCCTTGAACCGAGGAACAAAATACTGAAGAAAAATTAATCAGAACTTCCACAAATGGAAGCACAAAAATGCAGATACCTCTGGATTGCATCAAACATGTAGATACATATGACATGACGGCTACATAGTAAGCCAAAAGCAGAAGTATATCCCTCATACGAACACTATAATTTTAGCGAGAGTGTCATGATGAGGTTCATTCATCACAAATTAGAAAATGAAATCTGCACCTTGAACTGGAAATGAGACAGAAGGCACAAATCACACTTTCTGCTGGATAATGTTTTAACTGAGATCACCAGATTCACCGCACTGATTAAAGTTGATCCTGCAATGACCGACTGACAATCTCATTGTAAACTTAAACTGTAGAGACATCTCTAATCTACGAAGTTGAAACATAAAATGAAAGAAACACAACAATTCATGTTGGGGATTCGAAACAATCAATCGAACCCGTGCCCTTCCGGACCTTGTGTTAAGAGTTTAGCAAGTAGGAAAATCACCATAAATAAAAGAAAAATTGCAGGAAAGATAAACAAGAATGAACACACCAGATTTAAGGAGGTTCGGCAACGTGCCTATGTCCTCGGGAGCCACACCACACAATTTTTTGATTAATTGAAGAAGATTACAACGTCCACAAAGAGGTTTTTATCTCTCTGAGATCTCTTTGAAAGAATCCTTTCAAAACCCTCTTTTTCACGTGTTCACCAAACCCTAAAAATGTTTAGGTATATATAGGATCTCAGCCCAAAACAGTTTCCAACACGAATTACGAAACTGGAAAAAACCATCATCGGTCGACCGGACCATGCGTGTCAGTCGACCGGCCAGAACACCTTCCTGTAATCAGCTTCATGTGCACGTTTTCGATCGACCTGAGTCCTTGTGTCGGTCGACCGGCCAGAGCTTGATTTTGGGCTTGAGTTTTTACAGGGTTTTCTGTCGACCGGACCATCCCTATCGGTCGACCGACCAGAGCGAGCTTCTCACGCTCGTTTCTGCAGGCGTCACGGTCGACCAGACCAGGTCTGTCGGTCGACCGAGCCTCGTTTTTCCTGTTTTTCTTCATTTGTTTGATTTCAGGTTTGGGTCTCCACACCCGAGACCAACAATTAAGAAATTGTGAGTCTTGGGATGATTTTTTTCCATTTAATTCCATAACATGAGAACTTTCGTATATTGTAGATTCTGTTGGCCTCTTTGTTTCGATAATGTTTAACAAACAATTTACCACTAATATTGTTTGTCTAGTGTTGGTGTATTTCTATTTATTATAGACGAACAACGCATTAGAGGTTAGATAGAATTACATCATAACGATCATATTCAATGGAGGTTGGCGGAAATAGTGGTTGAAGCTTTGCAATTCAAGTTGAAGATCCAAGTTCAAGCTTCATCCGCAAGTGTACCAAGATAGAGCTTCGTTGAAGATTACAAGCTTGGGTATAATTAGTTTAGGAGTTTATATTATGTGTATTAAGTACTTTAAGCTTAATATAATATGCACACACATTTTATTGGTTTCTTTGTATATATATATATATATAGTTATATATATATATATATACATAAGTTAAGTTTTGATTTCTATGTATATTTAGTTATATATATACATACATGATTTTGAGTTTTTAAGTTTTAATATGAAACAAATTGAATACAATTGAAAATACATTTCTTGTTTCATACTTATATGCATATATATGATTTCATCAATATCAATTTTATTTAGTTCAATGAAATCATATTTATTGTTTTTAAAAAGTTTGCAAAATATGTAATTTTATGAAAATATTATATTCTCAGTTTTTGGACTTAACAATAATCATATACATCTTTTATTAAGTGTACAAAATCATTTTGTAATATTTCAAAACATGGTTAAGCTAAAATGTCAAAACTCATGTGTTTATATTTTCATGTTTTAGACTATTTTATAAAATAATGATATGTCTCATTTTGTAGCATGTTTACTATCATGTTTATAATCATTTCCCAAAGTTTTATATTTTTCTGATTTTATTTGCTATTTTTAAAAGATGTTTGAAAATCAGATTTCTGTTTAAAACATACAGTGTGCATGTCTTGAGTCGACTCATGAACAGTGTTGAGTCGACTCATAAACTGTTATGTAGTTTACATTTTGTTTCTGATGAGTCGACTCATAACATCATGAGTCGACCCATCAGGTTGAGTCGACTCATGACAGACTCATGCCTGTCATAAGTCGACTCACAAACTGTGCTGGAAAGTGTGTTTTGTTTCTGCTAAGTCGACCCATGACTTCATGAGTCAACCCATGCATGATGAGTCGACTCATGAATTTTATGAGTCGACCCATAAGTTGGTTTTTTAGCCTGTAATGACTACTTATGAGTCGACTCGTGAACAGTACCAAGTTGACTCATAACACTGTAACGGCTAGTTTTTGGCTGAGCTGTTTTTTGGTTTTTTTGGACTTTTCACTTCAGTTTTCTTGGTTCTTTGGGGCTCCTATATATACCCCATACCCTCTAACTTCTGAGGGTACTCAAGAGAATGTTTTAAGAAAATTTAATAAGGGTTTTAAGTTTGTTTTAGTTTTAGTTTTTGGTTTGTGAAGAAGTTTTCACAAGTGGAGGAGATCATCTTCATTTGAGCTTCATCTCCATCTCTCCATCTTGTTGTTTCAGAGAAGAATTTCTAAACTTAATACTACCTTTGCTTTAATTATTTGTTGTTTATCATTTTCATTAAGCTAGAGTTTACATTGAGTTTATGATTGATTTTCTCATTGTTTACATACACAACCATTGAGCTTATTGTATTTGCATACATTGTATAATTGGATTGTGGGGAGTTGTAACAATTGAGAGTGAGCCTATGTTGTTTTTTCATCCATATTAGATAACAATCATTTGTTATATTATGCTTATTGTTAGATTCACTTTGTATTATACTAGTACACCGAGAGGAGTGTGTGGTGAGAGACGTGATCGTTTCCAAGAGGAGTGTGGTCGGTAGTAAAGTCTAGAGAGGTGGTAATTCCGAGTACTTGAGGAAGGACACGGGCTAGAGACCAACACTTAGAGGGTGTGGAGTGTAGTTACATTGTGAGATTGTGATCGTTGATCGGTGAGCATAGAAAACCCGGTTGTGATAGTTAAGATCTCCTCGAGGTGAGGAGCGGAGACGTAGGTCGTGGGGACCGAATTCCGTGATCATATCGTTTGTTTGTGATTGCATTGGCACACTTATTTTTATGTTCATATCTTATATCACCTTTGTCTATTGCTTATTGTTCATATTCCCACTATCTTGTTTGTGTTCATATTGCCCTTGGTTTATTATCCTTGCATATATCTTGTAGCATATTATATTTGCTAGGATAATTTGTTAATTATTTTTAATCAACATTTAAATCAGA